AAAAAAATAATTTTTTCTTACCCAATGCAAACAAAAGAGTTTTTGTTTTGTATATCAAATGCCAACATATGCAACAGTATACCTCCTTAGACCCAGTCTGTGTATACAGTATGACCACGTACTGGCTTTGCAGAATCCTCAGGCAACCTAACTCTTCAATAATACACTGAGGTTGAACCCAATGAAATTTTATTGCAGATAAGTTCAGTACAGAGCATGTTTTCTAGTCTTATGAACCAAAAGAAGACATTGCCTCTCCTAAGCCCTGTCTCTGCTTGGAAAGTGAAACTAAACTAAGCTGTAGCGTAAGAGGCAGGAAGTGTCTATTTAGGGTATGTATTAACTAGAAGCAAAATGGGGAGGGGGGAGGAACATACCAAAGGTATAATAGCAATAAACGTCAAAATAAGGTTGAGAACGGGGATGACTTGGCCTCTGGACCTTAAAAACACAAAGAGACAGACATGCAAATATATATGCAGAAGTTGGTGAAGCTCCAATAAAATCACCTGATAAACTCTTCAGCATTGCAGACATGATAACGTGAACAGTCTTTGAAGCCCTTCTCAAAACCTGGAAAGACATGTAGGGGTGTTAGAGGTAGAAGTAGGATAATCTCTAAAGTTGGTTGAAGGAACTTCTTGACAAGTCAAGCTTTAGGAGGCTCTGCTTCCAGCATTTGAAGAAAAGGATGTTCTTGCATGATGACTGGTGTAATTGAATCTGATGAGCTTCCTAGGTTTTTTACTGTTAGCAGGGTTCCTGGTGTGATGCTTGAGCTGGGAGCTGTATCAGAATGGGTTTTGATGGATGAATCTGTAGTTGAAATTCAGCTTTGGTCAAGACTTGGTTGCAAGAATTTAAAATGAAGGTCTTTAAAGCTCTCATAGGGACGTTGCTGTTTGGCAGTTGTTAGGTAGTAGGTAGTTTTACTGTTGACAGGACTAGTTGCAGCTGGTCCTCTGTAAGCAGCTCTGTAGCATCTGTAGATAGTGATTTGGAGTCACTAGTTACACAGGCCATGAACTAATGAACTTGAGTATTGTTGTGCAGGACCTCGGTATTAGTAGATTGAATTTTCAGTCACCTGTTGACAGTTTAGGCTTGCTGCTGTATGTAATAATTTGCAGTTTTGTTTCACTGAGGATTCTTTCATATTGACTTGATTGTTCACAAGAAGTCTCCTCAGAGCTGGTATCGCAGTTTTGATCGATAAAAGGGGTATCTTGAATTCAATAACAATAGATTTACAAGTGCGCACACTGAACTCTGCTTCTTACTGGAGCGAGAATCACCAATATCAACCCAACCCAGTTCAGCTTTTTGAGTGCAAGGATTGTTACAAAGATTACCTGTGTACTGTTCTTATACCTTGTGGACTCCTTGTGGTCTCTCCCCAGTGGAAGCATTATTTTGACATTATTATCCAGTTACATTATGTAGGCAGTCAAATCTTTAAAGTCATACTCATAACTTGCATTTTCTGGTACAGAGATCTCTTTTTTGTCATTAGGTATTTGATTTCACTCGATAAGGGCTTAATGATAAATGTAAGCCCTTTAATTTCTGTATTTTTGATGCCTAAAATGGTGGGATGATGGTGTGAGCAACTCTTCCTACAGTTTTCAGAGCCAGTATATGTTTGTAATGAGTAGACTAATAGTAGACCAGCAACAATATGTTTACCTTAAACATAGTGAAGAACTCTGAAGTTGCAAATGGATGACTAACACACCAATCTGATCCTGGTTGCTTCAGAAACAGTGTTTCCTAAGCAGATCTTAGAGCCTGTATAGCTGTCTTTTAGTGTGCAGACAAACATGTGTTTTTTGAGATATTGTTCTATTTCAAATGTCAATGGCATACTGCCTTAGACGCAGTCTGTGTGGACAATATGGCCACTTGCTGACTTGGAAGAATCCACAGGCATCTTAACTCTTCAATAAGACACAAAAGTTGAATACACCACTACTGTATTACAAATAGGTGAAGTGAAAAGGATGTGTTTCCAGTCTTTTGAAGTGTAAGAAAACAATGACTCTCCTAAGCCCTGTCTCGGCTTGGTAAGTAAAACTGAGTTAAGCAGCAGTGTGAGAGACAGGAAGTGTCTATCTAGGAACTGTACTAACTAGAAGCAAAATAGAAGGGGGAACTGAGAAATATACTAAAGGTGTAATAACAGCAAAAGGCTGATGTGGCAGCACAATTTTCCTTTTCCAGTGCAGGGAATAAAAGGGTGAATTGGTTTTGGACCATGAAATGATTCATCCTTCAGACAGTTTGATAAACAAAAGTTCACATGAAGGTTTATAGTGGATGCTGTGTAGGGCTGAACAGCATCTGCTATATGCCTTCATGTGGACTTGTTTATCTTAAAGGAGAATTATGGGTTGAGTGAAATATACTCATCCACATAAATAGAGCTGACGTGTGACATACAGCTGTCACTCGTTGCCTGTATTGATCAAGAACTGAGTGATCACATACCGCTGATCACTCAGTTCACGATCTTCTCCCTGCAGAGAGCAGAGACTGTCAGTCCCCACTCCGTGCAGTTCTCCCCCCTCCCCTCTCTGTTTCTTCAGCACTGCCTGGAGGAATGGATGGGGAGCAGACAGGCACAGGTGGTGGGGTGGCCACAGCGCAGCTCTGCATTGTCAGCATATTGCGGGCAATAGCCTGCTATATGCTGGGTTTTGGGTCACAGGGTGACATAGTAAATGTCCTCCTGTGACTCTAAAGAGAACTATGGCCAAAAAAGGTTGGGCCATCGTTTTCTTTTAAGCCTTTATTTAAAGGCTTAAAGTTTCTGAGGGAGAAGTCAGTTGTTCTAATGCAATGGAACTATTATTCTTTTCCAGTGCAGGGAATAAAAGGGAGAATTTGCTTTGGGCCATTAAATGGGTCATTCTTCAGGCAGTTTGATAAATAAGTTCTATACTAGATGCTGCAAAAAGTATACTTTCTAGAGTGTTGAATTGCAAATAGTATATTTTCTTTCTGAACTAAAAACTAAAACATAATTACATATTTCCTGATGGAAAATGACTGAATCTACTTCAACCACTAACTGCGGTAATTAAATAATATAAAACAATCTGTTCTTCTTGTATTATGTAAATTTAATTAAACTGGTAAAGTGATTGGCAAACACAAGCAAGATATGCCTCAGTTTTAATTAGGAGTGTGCTGATACCACTTTTTGAAGACCAAGTACAAGTACTTTCCCTCAGGTATTTGATGATACCAATTACCAATCCTTTTTCTTAAAGGAACATGTGTTGTTTTGTTATTTTTCTATGGCTTTTCATAGACCCCTAACGTCTGCTCTGTGTCCCAGCGAGGCGGAGAGAAACTGTCACATGAGGCCGAGTGGTGCACAAGAGGAGAGCGCTGTAAGTGGCCGGCATCTCTCCTCCTGCACTGCTCGGCTTCCTGTGACAGACTAGGAGAGCGGTGGTGTGGGGCAGCTGACAGCTGTCTCTGCCCCCTACCGCCGCTTTCCTGATCTGTCACAGGAGGTTGAGCGGGGCGGTGCAGGAGGAGAGCTCAGCCTCCTGTGACAGATCAGGAAAGCGGCAGTGTGGGGGCGGAGCAGCTGCCACAGCAGGCTGGGCCGGCGGTGTGAGGGAGGAGTCACCTGTCAGAGGAGATCGAGCTCTCCTCACCGCACCGCTCGCTCAGCCTCCTGTGACAACGAGTCAGGATGGAGAGCAGGTACAAACACTCAGCGATCAGTGATCACTGAGTGTTTGTAAATAATTGAGGACAGAGTATGCTTACTGTGTCCCCAATTATAAATGAATGGGAAATGATCTACACCACTTCCTGTTCATTCATGATTGTGGACATGGTAAACAGACTATCTCCACAAGTTATAAATGAACAGGGACACTCAGTATAGAGGATTCCTGTTCATTTATAACAGAGGCTGCAGAAAAAGAGATTGAGGACTCTGTGTCCTCAATCTCTTTTTCTAGGGATGCACCGATACCGATACCAGTATCGGTATCAGTGCCAATAGCGAGTATTTGGGTGAGTATCCATACTCGCCCAAATGCTCCAATACCTTTCCCGATACTGGAACTTCTGGTCAGAGGGAGATTTCCTCTGACCGTCAGTGCCGCGAGGGAACATGAAGCCGGGAAGCTGGCTCCATGTCTTTTGGCCAGCTCGATGCTGATTGACCAGGAAGTCGGCTTCCCAGCCAATCAGTGTCGAGCTGGGCACACAAATCTCATAATATGGTGACATGACCCCCACCCTGCAGACAAATAATTTCCCTCACATAGATCCTTAGCAGCAATCATTACCGTACCAGTTCCTCCGCCAGCTGGGCAGACACCACTCTCCATGTTCTCCTGGATCTGCCCACGTCTTCTGTGTGCACAGCGCCAACGGCCCTCAGCCTGCTACTGAAATAAGCAAAACTAAGAATTTTTGTTTTCCTAGAAGGAATCTCTGCTGTGGCCCAATCCACTATAGCCAGGGCATTCTCTGCCTGCAACTGTATGTAAGCAAAATGGTGGGTTGCTGTGACATCATTGACCTTATATGGTCATGTGGCTATATTTGGTTAATGATATCAACCTTATATGGCCATGTGGCACCATGTGCTCTGGTTGGGACCAGGTTTTTTCCGAACCTGAGCTCATCCCTACTAGTCACCAAGCTGCGTGTGCCTAAATTTCATGCCAATCAACCATTTATTATGTGTAATGTCCCTCTGACGGCTCAATGCCTTGATTTCAGCTGTTTACTCATGGGAACCCTTCATACACCATGCGCAGTGCAGTCCCCTCCCCCTCTAGTGAACAGTGCGCTGTACAAATGAACCTATTGTGGAGGTACCATCTTCAGACATAAGGTCTTTTTTTTCTATGAACAATATTAGTACAGCATTGTTTGTGTTTAATGAAAATGCAATGTCTGTTTGTAATAATGTTGTTTTTATGCATACACAGAAAATATCACTTATTTCCCTTTTCCCTCTTTTTTAGGAAGCAAAACCAGAGATGGAGTGGTACAAGGAGTTACTTCAGGTCAGTATCCCCCTTTTATTCCAAGCTTTGTCTTCACTGTTGCTGCTGCTGCTCCACAGAGCGTTAATCTGTGTGACATGGCACCTCAGGCAGTCCGGCAACCGAAGCCAGCTCTGATCATAACAGGATCAAAAGCTAATGGGTCACTGAGATCGTCCAGGCTGAGCTAATGCAATTAATACTAGTAGCTACTGCTCATCTTCTGCATGTGTACATCTAAACTTCAAAGCAGAAGATAAATATGTACACATCAGGCCTTCCAATGTTTTCCATTCAGAGAATACAATATGTAACATATTTCATGTTTCTGTACTACATGTTATTGCTTTTTATTCTGTTCTTCGACCACAATTTGTATCATTTTGTTCCTAGTGTGCCTAGATATAACAAAGCACATATACAGTAATGGTACTGTATATGTGTACTGTATATTTTTATAGTACTGTATAATAGTACTGTATATTTTTATTCTGTTCTTCCACCCCAATTTGTATCATTTTGTTTTTAGTGTGCCTAGATATAACAAAACACATATACAGTAATAGTATATTTAACATACCAAAAGGAAGCACATAAGAGAAGGTAATTGTTCACATATACTTGAAGCCACAAGGGGAGGTGAAGGGGGAACCCTCCTATAACTGACCACATGTATGTAGAATATTAAGGTGCAAGCAATCGATTGACATGCTCCCATTATACAGTATCATATTGATGCCATACAGTATAATAGATAACTTAATAAATGTATGACTCTTACAGTTTAGAAATCGGGAAAAACAAAGAATGTTATTTATGAAGTACAAATGTCAATTAACAAATATATTTGATACTTGACTTTGTTCTTAAATGTATACATTTCATTTTTTAATTATTTGAAAACAGAAATAAACACATAATCATAACAAAGTAAAATACAATGCAATGTATGATTTCTGCAACACAGAGTTTATTTGTTTTCTGTTAGACCAGATGGGTCCTGTTAGCATTCTGTTGATAGAAAGCAACACCAAGGTTTAAAAAATGAAGTTTCCAGCTTGAACTGTAAACTGTTAAACTTTTAAACTGTAAACTGTAAAGAGCAAACATCCTGTATGAGTGTAGGTACTACCAGACATACGATACTTCCTCTGCAAATCTAATCTCTCCTCCTGGCTGTAGGACCTGCTCACCCATTGTCCCCTTGTTCAATGAGATCTCACTTGTTGGCCACCAAGGTGCATTGCAGTGGACGGTGGGTGGGGTTGTGGGGGGTGGGACTTAGCATACCTCTCATCTTTCTGAAATGAGAAAGAGACATCTTCCAGCACAATGTACTTAGGCAATGGATACACCCCCCGCCACATCCCCATTTATGCGGACCATTAAGAAATTTTATGCCAAAAATGATTGGGTAAATCTAAAATTGTTTTTCTTTTCACCATTACTTTTTCTTTGTACTGGCTTTTTGAAATAGAAAACAAGATAATGAAGACATAAGATAAAGGTTTTAGTGCAGAACAACACTTTTGATAGAACCTTTTCATAGATAGCCGTACATCAGACCAAAAAGAGGGACAGCAGAGGAGGAAAAAGGGACTGAGGGATTTGGTTCCAAATGGACGACTGTCCCTCCAAATGAGAGTCAGTTGGGAGGTATGGACTTAACACCATGGAAATGATAGATATTGGGGGAATTCAAGAAGACAAAAGACATTTATGGTTTTTAAAACAAAGTTCAAAAGGGTGACAGGTTACTTTCATGTAACACAGTCATGCACAGGCTAGGTCATTTGTCTGCAGAAGGAACACTGTCTCTCCTGCTAGTGGTCACATAGAAACAAGCAAGCATCAACTGCCCCTCCCCCCCCCGCCCCCATTTTTTTCTTCACTGTGCACATTGTACACTCCAGAACAGAACTTTACTTGCACCTTGTCTCCTTGTGGCAACATACTGGCAGACATACAATACACAGCACAGCACTGTACAGTATTTACATGTGTCCTGGTATTTACAACTTTTTTCCTTTTTTTTAATTGTAATTTTAATTAAAGGTTTCAGTGAAAATAACTTGTTTACATTTTTAAATTCCAACAACCCCTTTAGCATATTACTTAGAGATAGTCAGCAACAAAGGAAGGAAGAATGTAGAATGTTGCTGTCACCCTGTTACATATTAAGCTACAGATTTAGGATTGCTGCAGGCCTCGTTACATTATTTAGTTAAAATTTCAAGATCGATTTTTTTTTCTTTTTCAATCCTCGCTTGACACCTCATAGATTATAAATAGCAAACGATGACACAGACATCTCCTCTGAAGAGACATTTTAAGCAAAAAAATTTCACCCTCTCTAATTGTCCTGTTGACTGTCATCACTGAGACTTAAATTGATGGCAACTCCGGATTTCTAAAGCTGTCCCACCCATGCCGACAAGAGCGTCCCAAGTTGCGAAGAGCTGGGTGGAGAGACATGTATGGCCCTTACACATCTCCCCACATCTCTTAGCTTGGCTGTGGCCAGAAAGGGGACAGCAAGCACACTGTAAGCTTTGAGCAGCAGAGTGGTCATGCCGCTCTGCCTGTCGCCCCCCCCCCCCAAGAAGCTGTCTGTGGCAACAGCATTGTAGGGATGACCCTGGTTACAACTACCACAATCTTACCACTTGACAGACTTCTTTACCTTTTCAGCCAATGCTGGTTTTACCATGTGGGATTAGCTATGCAAAATTTGGTGGTAACATATTAAGCTTATTTAATACGGGAATAGCAATTGCAATGTAGAAAAAAGTGTAGTAAAAGGACAGTTAATTCAGTTTACTGCAGAGTAACAAGATCAAGGTGAAAGGTTATATGTTGTTTTAATTGCAAAATAATTTGCATATATTCGTCCATCCATTTCTTTTTATTTATACAGCCTGCTCACAACACGACTAGGTGGATAACACCCATTACAGATAACAAATACAGTGGTGTCCTCCCTTCACCCTCAGACTTCTGACTGGGCAGTGAAAGAGCAGCAGCACATTGAAGAAGTCATCTTTCTGCTTACTTTGCTCTCCTCACCTATCAGTATGTTCCTTGTCACCATAGTTGCATATAGCACACCTGATTGACTCATAGTTCTGCCCCTCCCTCTCCCAGTCTGAATGCTGCTGTACAGCGGATTGCAACACACTGATATCGGGTCAATTTCAATAACTTGTTCTAGCTTCATAAAAGATATATACTGTATATATATTGATTGGTTTATTAATTATTGCAGGACTGAATTGATTTGTATTTTTATATCTGCCTGGAATTTAGCTTTAATATTTGCTTTTTTTTCTGTTCTTTCTCTCAGTGGCAGAAAAGACCAAAGAGCAGGCATCTCATTTGGGAGGGGCTGTCATGTCTGGAGCTGGAAACATTGCTGCCGCCACTGGCCTAGTGAAGAAAGATGACTTCCCTACAGACATAAAGGTGTGACATTGTCTCTAATGTGAATATCAATGTCCATCATGTGAAACGAAATCATGGCCATTAATAATAATAATTGTCAGGCAGTGGATTGTGATCTGGCCATCCTGATAAGGGACTATTACACTTTGGCGTGGTTATCATGAGACAGGTCGGGAATTTTGTTGCTCTCTGGCATGGGACAAGGTTTTGGCTGTTTTGTGATACTATGGATACTTAGAACGCAAAACCAGACACAAAATCTGTGCTTGCAGGTAGGACTGGGCTTTAGGGTGAATGGCACTTGGCACTAGAGCGCAAGGATTAGTGCCAGGAGTGGGTGGTGTTATCTCTTCAGTGTGGACACTACTGTCCACACAAAAACAGCCTGCCCTCTAGTACACTGCAGTTAGAAAAAATTTCAGCTAAACAGCCTAAAGTAGTGTTTTTATCTGTTATATAACTAATTCTGTCCTATTTAATAAGAGATTGCAGAGAACAATAATAGGGCTTCACAAATTAGCCAGCTCGTAGTCAAAACAATGAAAAATCATGTCTGGTTAGTTAGTATGCATTGCTGCAATTTCATGTTGTTATTAGCCTTATTAAATAAAAGTCCTAGCAAATGAATCCTTGAAATATCTATTCAAATGCTGGCTCTTTCTGTCTCTGCTTCCTGTTAGCTGCACAAAGGATTTTTGTGCCTTTAAAGAATATGGATATAAAGCCATACCGTAGCTATGTGTATTAAATGGAGCCATGACTCCATTACGCCATTACAGTGATGGAAACTGTTCAGAAAGCCTTATATTTTCCTTTGTGATGATAAACGATATTTTAGATTTTCTCCTGGGTCCTATCTCAGTTATTTGCAAAATATGACTACTAAAATAATCTGACAATTAATGTGGAGACAAAACTCTTCAGGGTCTATTTATAAAGGATTTGTTGTGCGATTTGCACAGCGAATGTTTCTTGGACGTTCCTCCGTCTGTATTTTATGGTATTTATTTTCAATAAGGATTAACCCTATGTGTAATGCGGCAGTGACGGGTTCGAAAAATGTATAGGGTCGAGAAAAATTGTAGAACACTGACTTTGACACTGTCCGGCCCCTCCCACTTACCTCCCACAGCTCACAGCCCAAAAGCATGGACAGCCAGCGGCGGTCTACAGTGGGTGAGAGTGTCTAAGTCCCGGACATGGAGCGGAGTAAGGCCAGAACCATATAGGGAGCCCAGTGAGAGGGCGCACCATCCCCCAGCCTGTCACCCCTTTCATGGACTTACTAGGAGTCCTCACATCACCCGACCATTCACACTACTGTTACATGGATGGCAAAAGTGGCAGACGGGCGGAAAGAAGGCGGGGAAGAGGCAGAGCGGGAGGGGGGCCGAGTCGCTGCACCATGGCCCTCTGGGTTGTAATTGCCCCCTGGGCTAAAAGTTGCCAGTCAGCCCCTGGCCCACAGTTTCAATGGCCGCTGGTGCTCTGTCCCTACCTTCTTCTACTAGGCAGGTAACACTCAGCACTCTGCAGCCACATTCACTTCCGCTGCGAAGTGCTGAGTGCTGACCTGCAGCACAGCATTCATTGGCGGTTTGCATTCGCAGCAGCTGAGCAACTGAACGCGTCGCAGGTAGTAGCAGGGTGATTCTCCTTACTAGCAGAGTCGTATGTATCACAAGAACGGCTACTCAAAATTATATATCCATGGTCAGGTAAAGAACAATAAACATATATGTATTTTAACCCATTAGCGACCAGTGACGTACATAGTACGTCATTGGCAGCGGGCCCATTTAAACAGATTCTGCTTTTTTTAATTGTAAAGCCAGCTGTCAACTTTAAAATTGAAGTGATTCTGGCAGCTCAGCTACCGTCAGATCACTTCTACGGGTTGGTAAAGTGCCGCCCCCCCCGCCCTACACCCCATGTTTTCCGGGCTCCGCTGCCTTTTCTGCGGGCCCGGGACCGGCATCTGGTGTGTCGGCGGGAAGCTGGGGAGGAGAGTGGCGAACGTCCATTCTCCGATCTCCTCCCCCCTCTATGGGAGCGGGAGCGATGCATATTGTGTCTCTTCCCGGTCCCTGAGCTGTCATTGCTCGGCTCCTGAAGCCGAGCAATAAGCTATTGAAGTGTGAGCTGCATTTCAATAGCTTATTTGAAGTGGAAAAGTGACACTAGGGGTCTTTTGGACCCCCAATATCACCTTAAAGGGTACTTGTCACCACCAATATGCTATCAAATGTGGGGGACTTGTAAGCCACCCATGTGATAGCAATTAAAGTAAAGTTTAAAAAAAAACTGTTTTAAAAAGTAATATTAAATCAAATAAATTTAAAAATGTAAAAAAAATTAAAAAATTTAAATCCCCCGCCCCACCGTATTTACGTAAACACGCATCGGGTGCGCCTACGTACGAAAACGACGATCGCACAACACATGTTGGGTATCGCCGTGCATGCCCGAGTGAGAGCAATAATGCTAGGGACAATATTTACAAGTATTTCTATCTGTATGGGCTCCTAAAGCGTCGTCTATGGACTTTTTGAGGTACTGAATTTTGTCGCCATTTCACATACGCACACAATTTTTAACCTCGGCATGTTGGGTATCTATTGACTCATTGTAACCTCATCTTTTATATTTTACAAAAATATGGGGCACTAAATTTAGCTTAAGTGCATTTTTCACAAAATGTTTGGGTTTGATAAAAAGTTGTGCTAATATCATGCAACATAAAAAGTTTCTGGAAATACAGGTGAAACTCGAATAATTAGAATATCGTGCAAAGTTCATTTATTTCACTAATGCAACTTAAAAGGTGAAACTAATATATGAGATAGACTCATTACATGCAAAGCAAGATAATTCAAGCCGTGATTTGTCATAATTGTGATGATTATGGCTTTCAGCTCATGAAAACCCCAAGAACCCCAAATCCACAACTTCAAAAAAGTAGATTATTACATGCAATCAATAAAACAAGGATTGTACATAGAACAATATCGGACCTCTGAAAAGTACAAGCATGCATATGTACTCAGTACTTGGTTTGGGCCCCTTTTGCAGCACTTACTGCAATTACTTTTGCACGATATTCTAATTATTCGAGTTTCACCTGTATATAATGTTTGGGGGTATTAAGTCATTTTCAGGCTTAAAATGTGAATTATAACATGTGTGCAAAACAGAACAAAAAAGAAAGCCTTGGCAGCGAAAGGGTCCTTAAGGGGTTAACTGTGTATTTGTATGGAGTTCCATCCTAAATCCCCTGGATACAGGAGTCTCACCGACACAGTCCTAATGGAGATAACAGCAGCTGGTGTGTGATTTAATCTGTTGTCATCCAGCAAGACTAGGCCTGCATATTAGTTGTCAATCCAATGTTATTACATCAAAAAGTAGGTGAAAGAACTTCAGGATTATTAACACCGAATAGTTCTAATATTTGTTTAATTTTAGTTTATATTTTGCTTATTCTCATGTAAATAGCTTTGTTAGTGTTTCTTAGGTGTCCAGTCAGCTTACATATGTGGTTGATGTGCATTGAGTGTACACATCAGGGGAATGTATCAAAACTGGAGCAGTTTCCTAGGGCAACCAATCACCTTTTCTCTTCAGTTTGTTTGTTCAGACTTTAAAATGAAAGAGAGAAGCTGATTGGTCACCATATTCTGTCTGCTCCAGTTTTAATAAATTACCCAAATAGTTCCTTCTTTTCTAATATTATAACATATAGACTATGAAGAGTAATATTGTAAGTGATAAATGCTGCAAAGATTTGCATACCCATGATTACGGCAAGCAGCAGGGGTTATGGTGATTATTCATATTCAGCTGATCTCTGTTTCATAGGTTGCTTGGCTGTTACCTGTTTATTCATTCAGTGTCTTCATTGTAACTATAGCAACATCTGTTGTAATACATGTGAATGAGAGTGTTCATTTTCATATACTTAATGTACATTTTCAACAAATTATAATTCACTAAGCAATTATAGATACTAAAAAGCGCAGAAAACTAGAGCTGCAGCTAACGATTATTTTCAAAATCGATTAGTTAGCCGATTATTAAGTTCGATTAATCGGTTAATCGGATAAACAATAAAAAAAATGGCTCCAGTGATGGACTACTAGTTTGTATTGAGATTGTAGTCCATCACAGGAGCAGGCTTGGAGCGGTGGAAAAAAAATAGTGTGGTGTGCAATATAGTGAAAAGGAAAGTGTAAAATTATACAGCAATGAATGCAGAATGGCACCGACTATAGAGGACTACAAAACCCAGCAATAGTACATTATACAGCGCAATGCAGAATATCACCAGCTATAGAGGACTACAACAAATCCCAGCAATAGTACATTATAGCTGGTGGTATTCTGCATTGCGCTGTATAATGTATTATTGCTGGGATTTGTAGTCTTCTATACAGCGCAGTGCAGAATATCACCAGCTATATAGGAATACAACAAATCCCAGCAATACATTATACATGCAGTATATAATGTATTGCTGGGCTTTGTATTCCCATGTATAATATACAGCACAATGTACCATCAGCTATAGAGGAATACAAATCCCAGCAATACATTATAGAGCACCATGTGTGGGAAAGCGTCCCTGTGCCGATCGTGGATGTGGGCGGGTGGTGAGTGTGAGGCGGGGAGGAGGTGCGGCGTGAAGAGCGTGGATGCGGGCGGGTCTGGCAGCGGCGAGCGTGAGGTGGGGAGGAGGTGTGGCGTGCAGCGTGTGTGGAGCCGTGAACAGGGCCAACTAACCAGAAGCCGATTAATCGATTATTGAAAAAGTTGACAACTTTTTCAATAATCGATTATAATCGATTATGTCGATTAGTTGTTGCAGCCCTACAGAAAACGGCTTTTGTCAATGCAGAAATGTGTATGGATCATTTTAAGTTTGTGTGGTCATTTACGTCATAGGTGTTCATTACAATAAGGTATGTAACGCTACCACAGTTAAGTACTGGGTCTACAGGATTTACTAAGATCCTATTAACACA